TTGATATTTTGTGATTAAAAACTAAAACAGTCTTTAGACTCGAGATTTTAAGAGCATGCATTATATTTTGCTCAAATATCTATATTCATCTGAGTTTCCCAAACTGTATGCAGAAATTCACATATCTTATATAGTGTACCAAGAATAACATAAAATTAACATAACATTTTTCTGTGTGAAATTCTTGTAAAACTAATTGAAATGAAGTTAGCATATAAAATACTAAACTTTCAGACAGTACCAGAATAATGTAAGTCCTAAATATGCTAATACAGATTAAAGTGATACAGTTGCATATATCAACCTAACATAGTCAATGCTATGGAATACATAAAGAATAATACCTTCCAAGAATTTGGTTTCTTTTTCATTAAAAATAGAGAATATAGTGCCAGATAACTGATCATTCCAGTGTTTTCTGACATATATAAAAGGTATGTTATTGTGTTACTGAATCTCCCTTAAATATTGGATAAAAAAGTAGTTGTGGGCCAAATCACATTGCATGTTTCTGATCAAACATAATTCCTTGTCAGTCTTATAGTTTCCTCTTTGTAGGCAATGGCTCTGTTTTTCTAGTTGCTTTTAAGATTTTCTCTTTATCTTATGGTTTCATCAGTTTTTACTGTGCTCTGTCTACTTGTTGTTTTCTTTATATTTATCCTACTTGGGTGTTCCTGGGGGCACTTGAATCTTTGTCTTAATGTCATTCTTCATTTTTAGAAAATTCCAGGCAATTATCTCTTCATCTGTTTGGTTTTTTTCCCTTTCCTATTCTTTCTCCTCTCTTCTGGGACTACAATTACATGAATAATAGACTATTTGCGCACGCTCTCTCTCTCTCATCTCTGCTTCATTTGTGAATATTTTCTACTGACTAATCTAGCTCCTATTTTATTAATCTTTTTTTTTTTTTAGCTGTGGATAATTTGCTGTTAAATACATTTTCATTTTGATTATTTCATTGCTTAATTCTAAATTTTTCATTTGATGCATTTAATAGTTTCCACTTATTTGCTAGATTTTTTTTCTATCTTAAACATTTTTTTCCTGTCATTTTTTAAAATTGAATTTCTTGGGTTGACATTGGATTGTTATGAATTAAACGGCTATTTTAACCTCTGTCAGTTACTCCAACATCTGCATCTTCTGTAAATCTGCTTCCTTCTGTCAGTTTTTTGTTTTTGTTTTTGGTGTTTGTCTTGTATTCTGGCATGCTCAGTAATTTTTGATGAAATGCTAGACATTGAAATATGAAATATTTTAGAAATAATTTGAAGCTCTGGATTTTTTTTTCTTCCTCCAGAGATTTACTTTTGCTTTTGGCATGTGGGTAGATTAGAGGTAGTTTATCTTAATCCAATTAGGGATTTGGCTGATTCTATGCTAGGTTCCAGTCTGTAAGGACTGGTCTATGCTCATTCTTCCTCCTCAGGCATAGTCCCTCAGAGATGCCAACAGAAAGCCTAGGTGTTTACTATCTCCAATATTTTTTTAAATAATTTTTATGGACTTCAGAGAGGAAGGAAGAGGGAGAAACATCATTGATGAGAGAGAACCATCTGTCAGCTGCCTCCTGCATGCCCCATACTGGGGACTGAGCCCGCAACCCAGGCATACGCCCCCGACTGGAATTGAACCCGGGACCCTTCTGTCCGCAGGCTTACACTCTATCCACTGGGCTAAACCAGCCAGAGCACTATCTCCAATTTTTATCTGCCCAGCACCACGAGGCTGTGGAACGCTTTGATTAAGCTTGGCATCTCTGGCCACTGGGAAGTTAGGAAGACCCATTCAGCAAGCTTCCTCAGATACCCCATTAGCAGCTTCTGATTTTTGTGTGTGTTTGGGGGCGGGGGGTGTTGGTTAATTCTTACCAGAGGATATTTTTTGTTCATTGATTTTTAGAGAGAGTAGAAGAGAGGGAGAGAGAGAGATGGAGCGAGAGACATTGATGTGAGACTGGCACATAGATTGGTTGACTCCCACACATGCTCTGACTGGGGCCAAGGATCAAACCTGCAACCCAGGTACGTGACCTTGACTGGGAATTGAACCCTCAACCCTTCAGTGTGCAGGCCGATGCTTTGACCACTTAGCAGCACTGGCCAGGGTAGCAGCTTCTGTTTTACATCTCATTGGCCAGAACTGTATCATATGGCTATCGTTTGCCACTATCCCTGACTTCAAGAGAAACTAGAAAATATTTTGCTGAACTCATAACTGCCCTCTAAAAAACAACTTGTTTTGCTACAATCCAGATATACAAGATGAGGACAGGTTTTTGTGTGACTGTATTAAAGAATACCAAATTTTCTAAAATGTTCAAAGATTTAGGTTTCTGACACTGAAAAGTAGCTTCACATATTTTTTAAAACATTTTTTTTTCATTTTTCTTTACTAAACAAAAGCAATACACATTAGTAGTAGAAACTTTAAAGTCTAAATGAGCAAAAAGAAAAAATCTGAAGTCCTACCAACAAAAGTTAACTTCTTTCAATGTTTTAGTAGATGGAGTTGTAGTAATTTTATAGTGATATATGCACAAGTGTATTTTATAAAAATAAAATACAAATTAACATTATATACGCTATTTTGTAACTTGTTTCTTTTACTAAGTATCATATACATATTTCCATATTAAAGTATACATTGAAGTAGTATTTTACAGTTTAGAAATCATAATTTTTAAAATTTAATTCATAATGCTTTTTAATTTTAGTGTTTCACACTAATAGTGTGTCTTGTGTCTCCTATTCTGTACCAACTCTTTTCTTGACCAGGTTAATACACAATTATGTTATTCTTGGCTAATACCAAAGGAATGTTATGTTTAACAGCCAGTGGGAGTAATGAACATGTTAAGTAGGCTCTGACTCAGTGATAATGATTCCTGGTAAAATCCCTTTAAATATCTTATTTCTAGGCTCGACTTGATACAGTGCAATGATTTTTAGTTATGAATGAAATTATTATACTTTTTCTCCCCTCCACTTTAAAGGTTTTTTATTTTCTTCGAAATAGAGATTCTAGACATTCCTTGGAGACAGTAGGGAGTGCCTTGTCAGCATACAGTTTCTACCATAAAATGCACACATGTTAAAATAGTAAAACTACTTTGAGATGCAAATGTTGGTATAGTTGGCTAGGCTCACTAAGTGACACACACATGCTGACAGGACAGCAGACATGATTTAAAATTCTACTTGAGTAATATTACAGATTATTACAGATCATGGACCTCTTCAAGGTCATGCTTGAATACCAGGGGTTGTGAATATTAAATACAGGATAACAAAAGATGTGTTTTATAAATTATACTAGAGGCCTGATGCACGAAATTCGTGCAGGGAGCTTAGCCCATGAAACCCTGGCTTCATCTGGAAGTTGGGACAGTCATTAGTCATTCTGCCATTTGGTCTAATTAGCATATTAGTGCTTTATTATATAGGATATGACTTTATAAATATCTGTACCTAGATTTTTAGTGGAAGATTTGCTTAATTTAATTCTAAATCCATCTAACTGCTAATTTTACTACCACTGGTGCCTTTCTTTAGAGCTTGGCTTTCTCATGCAGTTTTTGTGTTGAGACCAATCAGTATTTATTGCTCATCACTAACCCTAAGCTTTGTACTAGTATTTAGTGAATCTCAGATTCACTCTTGTCTAACAAATCCTCATAAAATAGTGAAGCTGATTCAGGTTAGATTTCTGTGAAAGAATATCTGACAGGGTTTGTTTCAAAAAGGAACAGTGAGTAGATAATGAACTTTATTACCTCTAATGAAATTACTTATGTCATCAGTCCGTGGACATCACACCCCGGAAATCTCCACATGGCACCATGGGAATCTGTCTTGTCAGCTGGGTGGAGATAATCCAGCATCAGATTCTTAACCAGTGCAGAATTGCTCATAAACCAGTTTAGAATTGCTCATCACCAGTGGCAGAATAGAAATACTAAGTTCTAGATCATATTGTTCCTAAGCCTTAGCTTCTTTAAAAGTTGATAGTTTGCTTTAAATTTATACTTCTGAATATTTTAAAATCCATTTATTTATGGCTATTTATAAAAGTGCTCCATTGTTTTTAGTATCCCATTTCTCCATCAGTGCTCTTGGCCATCTATTGCTATCTTTTGTTTATTGTTTCCCCAACTAGATTGTGAGCTTCTTATATGTCAGTGGTTCTCGACCTTCCTAATGCCTCGACCCTTTAATGCAGTTCCTCATGTTGTGGTGACCCCCAATTTCATTGTTACAAATTGAACGTAATTAAAGCATAGTGATTAATCACAAAACAATATGTAATTATATATGTGTTTTCCGATGGTCTTAGGCAACCCCTGTGAAAGGGTCATTCTACTCCCAAAAGGGTCGCAACCCACTGGTTAAGAACCACTGTTATAAATAGTAACTATGTGTTATATACATCTATGCACACCTACCCACTCCCACAGTGCCTCTTAAAATATAGTAGATATCCCATAAGTCTATTATTTAAATATTGACAAAATTACATTACTAGTTTTAACTTAGTTTTATTCTTTTAGAATTGTATTATTTCTCTGTCTTTAAATGATACTTTCTCTGCCCTTATTGATGGTTTGTCTTTTCTGGGAAAAGCATTCTACGTTTTATAATTAGCTTTTATTTCAAAATTCCCTAAAACATAAGGGTTACCTGTCTTTGTAATCCATGATATTTGAGATACATAAATATTTGTTGAACTGGGCATAAAGTTCTTAGATTTGAATTCCTAAGCATTCAAATGTTTGATATAAGCATTTGACTATTTCTTGTCTTTCAGATTTTGATCTACATTGCTGGGTATTAGTCATTTAATAGGTACTTAATGTGGGCAAAGCTATGTGTTAGGGATCACTAATATTTAATGCATAACTAAATATAATGAGTTTCATTTGACAAAATATGTACCTTTAATATTTTGTCAACAAAACAGATTACTCAATTTATAATATTTTTTTGTCATTATAGGGTAAAGTTCACCTTGAATTAAAGCTGAATGAGCTGATAACAGAGAATGGAACTGTGTGCCAGCAGCTTGTTGTACAGTAAGCATATTTCTTTTACTTAAAATCAACTAGAAATAATTGTCCATTTTGTATTCTTTGAATCTTAAGCCAACTCCCTATTTTAAATACTTTTAGAAATTTTTTTTCAGAAATGAAACTATGCCATTTCCTTATTAAGTTGATTTCCAATTTATTTTCTTATGTGTAGTCTACTCAGGTTCTGATAAGCCATTAATTAATTTATTCAATATTTATTACTGCATATGAGTTTAATGATAGATTTGGGCAATAGGGTAATACAGTCTCACAGGTAAGTGTGTCTAACTAGCTGGCAGGAGGGAAGTGGAAAGGCTTCCTAGTGGAGGGCCCCTAGGAACTCTGATACCACAGAGCAGAGCATAGGGACCTTGGTACTAAAACTAAATGCCTTTCTTGAGATTACCAGTATTAATTTTCACCTACTTTGAATCCTTTCCTCCTCTTTTGCCTTCAAGTCATTTTTTTAATCACCCAGACTCTACCTTTCTAATAGTTCTGGAAACCTGTTCCAGCCCAACCCCCAACCTTTTCCCTCTCACTCAGATTCTTCCTTTATGTTATTAACAAACTACCCAACATCCCTGACTTCCTCTGAATGTTTTCCTTATCTTTGTCTTAACTGGTATCTGACTCTCCCCTGAGATACTGTTTCCTCTACTGCTTTCTCAATCAGAGGTTGTTTTTTTTTTTTTTTACCATACCCACATACCTTGGAGCCAGGAAGTAGGGTAAATGTTACTCTCCTATTGCTGCTCCAGACTATAATTTATTCTGTTAATTGTCAATACCCCAACTCCTTTGAAGTATCCTCTCTCCATATAAATATATATTTTTAACTAGAGGCCCGGTGCACAAAATTCTTGCATGGGTGTGGTCCCTAGGTCTGGCCAGTGATCGAAGTGTGAGCATCTGGTGTGGAAGGGCAGGTACCAGCTGACCTCTGGGCCCCCACGCACCCCCCTCTGCTTGAGTCATCAGGCCCCCGCCCTCCGCCGCCACCACCACTGGTAGCCTTCTGCAGGGCAATTGGGCCCCCGCTTGCACCCACCTTGACTTGGTGCCGCCCGCTTACCTGCTTCACCATCCCATCCTAGTGCCCCTCTCATCGGGGCCCATCAAGGCCAGCAGCGCCTCCACTGCCACCCGCTGCCAGCGCTGCGTCGCCAATGCCCACCATGTTCCGCGTTGCACCCTGGTGGTCAGCGCATGTCATAGTGAGCAGTTGAACTCTCGTTCAAACTCCCAGTTGAGGGGACAGTTTGCATATTAGGCTTTCATTATATAGGATATTAATGTATTTTTACAAGTACATTAATTACTATATATTTTTTACTTAATTTTTCTGAACTCTTTCAAAAGAAGGTCATATATTTTATGGCCTTTAAGTATTTTAGTGTTTATTTCCTAAGAATAAAGATATTCTCTTAAAATAACTAGTTATCAAACTCAGGAAATTTAACATTGTTCAAGTAAAAGTATAATCTGTAGTTATTATACTTAATACCTTAATCTACAGTTATTATATTTCACTTTCATTAACTGTCCCAATACTGTCCTTTAGGATATTTTATTTCTCTCCATGAAATAATTTAGTCCAAGAGCATGTATTGCATTTAATTGTTATGTCTCCTTAATCTCCTTAATCTATAATGGTTTTAGCTTTTCTTTATCATGGTATTAAGATTTTTGAAGCATACACAGACCAGTTACTTTTCAATTTAGATTTATCTACTAAAAACAGTGGAAGATTTGTTTGCAGGTCATTCCACCTAGACCAGTGATGGCAAATCTTTGAGCTCGGCATGTCAGCATTTTGAAAAACCCTAACTTAACTCTGGTGCCGTGTCACATATAGAAATTTTTTGATATTTGCAACCATAGTAAAACAAAGATTTATATCTTTCCCTGGCCTCCCTGCTCACAAAAGCCTCCGCAGGGTA